GATTCGGAACTTTGTCATCTTTCTCACATAGCAATCGTTCTCTTGACATCACCAGTGTTAACATGCCGACTCAACATGTTGCTTTCGCCAATCAAGACTGAACGCATGCTGTGAGCAATGAGCACCTTTTACAGGATTGAATAAACGTATATATACATAATTATACATTACATATAGATATACACGGGCTATACATTGTATATATGACATTCACGGTGCCAGGCATTGCCAGGCTTTCTATTATCAACAAATTGCTTTAGAAGCACTGTCATCTGTAGTGAATTCTAGGTTCTTAGCCCATAAGTGTCTTGTATCTGTGCATCTTGGGTCGATTTCATTGCTTTCTTGACCTCAATTTATATTGGTGGGCAAAGCTACCCACCTTGAAAAGGAGACTGATACCAAGGGTTTTGTTGGAAACACACATAAAACAAAAGACAGAGCATATCAACAGTCTAGTCAAAGTGGATCTGACCGATGAAAAGTAGAACGTGATTTGTTGAATGGACAAACAAGAAAGAAACACACACAAAAAGCAGAAGGGGTAGCAACCTTACAAAATCACAACTTTCACAACCCCACCCCTCATGACTACCCGCTCTCGAAAAAACATTATCAAACAATAAAGGCTCCTCTATGAAAAGCCCCTTCTTCCCCCTTTTCTTCCGGCCTCAACGGTCACTCCTGGGCCTTTTGATGACACCTGTGCGGTGTGCCATGGGAAGCTGCGTTCGATCTCGTGTGGTGTCCTCAACTGAGGCGATTGAGAATCGGTGGTCTCACCACTCACCACTCACCCCACGGGTAGGAGACTCGAAGCAAACCGGTCATCTCATTCTCACCAGGGTCTTGCCAGTGTTCCGATGTACAGGCCATTGTCTGGGTCTTGCAGTGTCCATTGTCCCGTGAGCAAGACTTCAAAATCTCTCCTCAGGGTGGACTGCAGAACTTGGGACAATCATTCGAAGGGGTTGTCCCATGGTCACTCTGAGATGCCGGCTCTCTGCTGAATGAACAGTCAGCTGAATGAAGAGCCGTCGCTGTCGGCTGCGTTGCGGCACCGAGCGAAATTCGGCACCAGCTTAGAAGAATCCTTTCAAATCAGCTTGGCTGGAATCCCCTGGATGCTAGCTTGAAGAAGAATCAGCTTAGCAGAATCCTTAGAAGAATCAGCTTGGCCAGCGATGCCGAGCGATGCCGATGCCACGGCCGTGTTCTGTGGCCGCCTCCGGTCGGTGCAACGCTTTGGCGCTTGAATGGCTTTCCATCTCCACAGGGCTCCTGACGGCGGAAGGGCTCCTATTCAACGGGTGAAAACATGGAACAACATGGAATCCATAGAATCTCGAAGTTTAGTCCTAGTGGAATCCATAGGCTTCCACAGTCTAGTCTACCCTGTTTTTTTCCTAGCTGGAATTCCAAGTTCCATGGAAGTTTACCATCAATAGAATCCACAATAGGAAGTTCAGGACTTCTAAGCTCCCTTCTGGGTGGGTCCTAGACAATACATTGACCTGCTTTATGATTTTATGGAGTTCCAAGTTCCAGGAATGTCGCATTATCAAAATGTTCTCTGTCCAACAAATACGGAGCCTTGCCCAATGAACTTAAACTGGAATAGACATCAGCTATAAAAGTTGCACCTGTCTTTGTGAGTTGTTTTTGATACAATACATTTACAATGCCATTGACACGATTCTCTCCATTGTCGAGTGCTTGTAGCATGGCGGGGGAAGAAATTCCACGACTTGACCTGACAAGTCTTGCATCAGAGGCCTCAAATTCTCAAATCCCTCAGTGGATTCCCTTTCACATCTGGGGCGACTTCAGGGGATTCTTCACAACCGGTTAGCTGTCCCCCACCGGTAGAGACAGCTGTCCGACAACATGTTTAAGAACCGCCCTCGGCGGGGTGAACAGCGGAAGTGACCATTCTTTGATCTTATGGCAAGCTATACCAAGCTTCTCTGGTCAAACTGCATGTCACGCTCTTTGCAACCTGAGCAGTTTGGAACTCCGTGATGTTCAATCTGCAGCGGTTGATAGTCCGGTCAGGTCTTTATGCGTTGACTAGGTCAATAGGTACTTATCAGCAATGCTTAAGCTTGGGGGTGCCGGGGTGCCTGTGCTTTTGAGACAAATCACCGCTCTTTCCTGACTGCTAGTGTGCCCCAAAAGAAGGGTCAAGCATTTTGGCTCTTGTATGGTCATGACACTTTATGATCTGGTAGCATCCGTTCCAGATCACCAGTCTGAACTATACCTTGCGGGTAACCTTCTGGGCGTCCATTCTACAACTCTTGCATTGTCCTGGAGTCCTGGATTCAACATCTGTGACTAACCTCCAGAGTGTGAACATCAATCACGGGGTGAAACTGTGAAACACCCCATGATTTCCTCACAGAAGAATTCAGACAAATCACCTCTTTCAGCATCTCCTGAAGCCTTCTGCACAGCACCCCGATGGCGCGCAAATCCTTCGCGAACCGCCTCTCCTTCGCCACGTGTCCGGGCAGCTTGAAGTCTCGGTCCTGCCGAGGGCCGAAAGCACGGTGGCGAAAAGCTCGCGCGCCTGGGTGGGTGGGGAGAATCCAGGTCTCACTCCAGGTCTCAGACATCACATGGAAGTAGAGGTGGGACCTTGGCTGAACGAAGCCACATGGAAGTGGAACCACCTGGCCATGTAAGAGATGAATATGGCAATGTTCAACTTCCATGCTAGCGTAATCTTTTTGAGTCTTGACCCATAGTGTGCGTGAGGTTTTGTTTTACAGTTGGTCCAGTCGGTTTGACTGCATGATTTAAAAAAAGCCAGTAGCCTTGGAGATGGTTGAAGAACGGATCCCCATGCGCAAAAGTCAAACTGAGTTGGTGCCACCTACTCTTAACTGACTCTCTGTAGTTGATCATCCTGGAATAGATAGTTTCACGGTACGCGTTGGCAACGTGCGTTTCATGTGCACTGGTTGCAAAGCGAGTTGCCAACCTGGTTTGCTCACCGGGTTAATTACATCTGGCAACATCTTTCGGCTTCGCCATGCAGCCATCCATGTGGAAAAAAGAGTCGAGCGCCAGGTCGCGTCATTCAGAGGCTGTGCCTCGTCTAGGAGCAGAGGCTTCAAATCGACGTCCAGGAAATGGACGTGGCCTGGAAGGACGCAGTTTCAGAAGAAAGTGGTCTCAGGTGATGTATTTGTGATGTGGTGTACCTAGCGGTCGCGGTCACAGACCGTCCTAGCTTGAAAGTCCAAGGAAGTGATGTGGTGATATGTGATGTATGAATGTGATGTATGAACTGCGTGCTGGGGGGATGGGAAGTGTACGGAAGTGTACCAGTAAAGAGTCCGTGAAGCATATTGAAGCATGCATGAATCCAACAAATTGGAGAAGGACTTAGAACTAGGTGAAGATCGTGCAAACTTGGGAGAAAGACTTTCTAAGAGGATCATAGCCTGAGGCGGCGCTCCATAAGCGTCTCCCATCCTTTGAAGGTGACCCTCTTGGGTGCACCAGCGTCCGACATCATGAGGTCCAGTTTCGATAGCCGCTGCCCTGAAAGCACCTTAAGATACCCTAAGGATTCGAAGGGTCCTAACCAGTGTCATAAAGGTCTGGTGAGGGTACTCCAGGTCATTCTTGATCCTGGCGCCAGTGCTGTGGCCATCACCCAAGAGATGATGAACGATCGACACATGGTGGCCAGCTTCCGACATGGTTCAGAAAAGGTCAACTCAAAAACAGCTCCGGATGTTTTCCATCTACCAGAATCAACCCCTTCATCGATGATGGGGAGGAGGATGGGGCGCACCCTCACCCTCACCCTTCACGAGCCAAACTCGACCAGATCCGCAATCGGTCCCCACCACATCGCTGGCCTCCTCCATGACCGGCTTCATTCCAAGCACAGGCACTGCCCTGAAAGAGGTCAAAACCAAAATCAAAGAGCACATGATGTGGTGTGATCAACTCAACAAAAGTAATTTAAGTAATCTTCTATTTGGATAGTCCCAACAAGTCACTCAAAGGAAAAAGAATCGAGTCAGGCAAACACATACCAAACACCTTCTTGAATGTCCCACACATGGATGTTGGCCACAAGCATTTTAGACCCCCAAACGGCAGGTACCTTCGTCCTGCCCTGGGCGGTTGCCCGCGGCCCGGGCGCCTTGAACTGCAGATCCATTGACTTCACCGCCACGAGGCTTCCAGGTTCCGAGATAAGTCTTAAGCACTGAAGCCCAAATATTGCGGTGGTGCCGAGACTTGGGTCACCAAGGAGTTGGTTGGGAGACCCATGGGTTTGTCTTAGTCTTCGGAGTATCTGAAACCCAAGTGGTAGAAGTCAGTCACTAAGCCAATCGGTCTGGTCACACCAGTTGTCACAACAAAGGCCTGGTGCGGAAGAGGTACCAGTCTGGCCAGTGCCCACCCAAAGGAACACACACTGTTTCGTCTTGTTTGGCAGGAAACAATTCGACAAAACTTCACTTTAGCCGTGCTGTTTCTGTCTGGTTGACACACTCATGCATCCTTCAAATCACTCCCTTGACAGAGTTTGAAAAGTGTACTGTGCGGGCCCACACTGTGGGCCCGTCTCGCCAGTCTAAAGCCCAGTGGCTGACCACAAGACAACCTGCAATAACATGCAACAATTAACCCGGAACAACTATATAAGTGGGTTTAGAGGAATCTAGGAGTCCTAGGAGGCAACCTCTACCTTAGTTCGGTGTCACAAACCAAGTATTACATGACTTGATGGAGTGTCTTGACTTTCACTGCGAGACGTCTGCGACACCCCAAGCTTGGACCTTCACGTTCATGCGAACAAAGGTGGCGGTGCTCTTCAAAGGGTGAACTCTTCTTCCAAAGCCTTCCGGAAAAAAAGAATACGCCAGGAAACAACATAGACTTCCAGGAGATCCAACCTACCATGATTTGGAGGGGCTAGGTATTGACCTCAGCCAGGTGAGGCTCATCCGTCTGAACAAAATGCGTCCCGCCTGCAGGGTGGCCTCTGGAATCTCCACTTTCTGCGGTGAAGGCACATCCTCGGTGTGACCTGGAAGAAGCAAAGCTAGGGGAGTATAACGAAAACATGCAATAAAATACAACATAGGTGGACAGTATAGTTTAGATACAGAAACAGGTGGTTCGATTGTGATATGTCATATAATATATATATATTATATAATTAGTAGGACATAGTATGACCATTAGCCAGGAACATTCATTTGACATCATTTGACTACCCCACAACCCGTTCAAGGAAACTGACCTGCGTCAACTGACCTGCGTCAACGGATGCAAAACAAATGTCCTCCTGAACTTTGCTGGACAAGGAAACATATTTTTGTGGATTGCACCTGTGACGAGATCCCACCACCAGAACTCACCGTCAGTTCCTCAGGGGATGCTTCCGCGTTCTGCATCCCTACTCACTAATAGTCATCATTAGCAAGCGACCAAAGCTTTTCTGACATTTAGACTTCCAAAGCACCTTTTCGCTTTGTTTAACTTTCCTTGTTGTCCCACCCGCATGTAGATCCCAAAACCTCTCAAAGAGCATTCCATTGCTTGCATTGTTCAGCATACTATACATATCAGTCAGAATAGAATGTATCCATCTCTGGCCATTTACTGCATTTTGCAGCAGCTTGGAGACACCATAATTGCTGGGGAAAAAACTAAGAAAAAACTGTAGAAACATGGTTGCCTTGAAAACTTGTTACAAGTTTATGGATTGAAACGTATAAGCAACAGCTTATTATGTATATATCTCAGACAAATATTGAAATAGGATAGGTGAATATCAACAGGTTCAACTCATTACCCGGGGTAATCTTGGCCATTGTTGTCTGTGAAGATACAATCAATGATATAAATGTCCATGCTTTCTCTCTGTTTCCTCTTTGTCTTTTCCCCCTCCTCTCTCTCTCTCACTCACTCACTCACTCACTCTCTCTCTCTCTCATCTCTGTTCTGTATCTGGTTCTTCTCTCTGATTCTTATTATGTTCTTTTTGCTCATGTTTCTTCCCTCTGGTTTCTCTGTCTCTCTGTGTTCTCTTTCTCTTATCTCTCTCTCTCTCTGTCTCTCATGGTGATCAACATCATAGTGATGGCCAAGATCACCAGGTGGGGAGGAATCTGAAAACACAACAGCTTGAATAATCTTTTTAGCAACAGCTTGCGTAGTCTAATAGTAGTCTTGAGTAGTCTAACACCAAGGGAGCCTTTCTAGGAAACAATGAAGAAGGCACAGATTTAGAATCAACAGCTAGTGGGTTGTGCTATTGAAACCTGTTTGTGTAATTGTGGGTATTCTCGTCTGTCTTTCTCTCTTTCTGTTTCACCCTGCTGTGCATGGGTGAACCCAAGGGTGACTTAGCACCCAAGTTCCCAAAGGGGCATGTGGGCGGCCTCCCTAACCCAGCTCTTATGGCTCTGGTAGCTGCTACACTCCTGAATGGCTCCCTAGCTACCTCCCCACCTCTCCTCCTAAACACTGTTGTTTGCGGAGCTTGGTCCAGGTAATCCAAGCCTGAAAATCCTGAAGCAACCAGTCTAATAGCAATGGCCTCCAGCCTAATAAATAGCAAATAGAATCAATTGGATTGAAATAGATTGACATAGCATGAAATAGGCTCACAATATTCAAAAGATATAAAAGATATCAAAATATCACAAAACCTATCAAAATCATCCAACATCTCTGCAAAATGCTTCCAGGAAATTCTCTACAAGCTGTGGAAGACTCGACCCAAATATATATATATATATATATAGCCCAAATTCTCTACAAAATGCTATCAGGCTTTTCGAGCTGCTTTCTCTACAAAATGCTACTTCCACACTCGACTGAAGATCTCAACAGCATGCATCGTGCAAAAAGTCTCTACAAAATGCCTCTTCCACAGTTGAATCAATACCTACAAAAAGCATTCTGTATACAACATGTCAACATGCTGTTGATTGAATCCGCAAACCTCTACCAAATTAGACTTTCAGTTCTTGGTTTTTTCTACAAAATGCAAAAGGTCGAGTCAAAAACTCTCTCTACAAAATGCTTGACATGGAAAATACCTGCTCTACAACATGTAGGGTAGGGGTCTATCTTAAAGAAAAAACAACACATTAAAAAAACGCAACATATGTCTCTACAAAATACAGGGCCGGGTCTCTACAACATGACGGGATTAAGCGCAAAGGTGAGTTGTCTACAAAATGACCATGATATAGGGCCTCAAGGCCCTCATTTTGTAGATACGTTAACGGGGATCCAAAAACAACGTTCTCGTCTACTGAAGACTGGTGTTTCAGCGCTCGGACAATCTACTGGTTGCAGCTTCTTTCGGCCTCGGTTCGCCTGGTGCTTGTCTGCTCACCCGAACCCCCAAACAACCAAAGATCGGCCCGACATCTGGGGCCCTTTGCCCAAACCGAGCTGTCCCATGTCATTCTTCCCGAAGGCCAAGCAGGCGCCGCACACCGTGAGTAGCAAACTGCGATGGGGGCGGGACGAGCGTCTTCGTGCTTCGGTATGGTGATGTAACCGTCTTTCGTGGCCCATGAGTTGGTGCTTGGGAGACTTCTCCAGGTAGACTACATCCATTATGGTACCATGAAACACCACACGGGACACCCATATGAGCACCATCCAAGAACCCCAAACACATCCAAGCTGACCCACTGTGGCACCAGGTTGACCCATTCCAAAGGTGATGATCGGCTAACCGTCCTTACCTACCATCCAAAACTCCTTTTGCAACAAATTGTCCTTCCTGACTGGTCACAACTACCGTTCCCTTTCAAGTTTCTCTGATTCTGTGTCTGAAATACTAGCAGCATGTTGGATTCGGAAGGTAGCACTGTGGCAGGACAAATGACATAACAAACCGTTACAAGAAAACACAAAAACATATATATATATATTATACACTATGTAGTCCTGCAAACGCCTATTATTCATAATTGATTCCTTCTGGTCATTTCCCATGGTCCTTACTACCAACCTGCAAATACTAAGAGATACTAAGAGGTGTTGAACATCCATGCATATAAGGATTTGATCCATCAGGGGTCCACATGGATTGGTACTACACCAAGCTTTGCGCTATCGTCTCATCCACCCACGGTCCCACCCACGGTCCGACCTGACCCGGGCCAACCCGTGACGGCCCGTCATGCGTGCAACGGCAATACGGCAGCCCCGACAAAAAGGTACCAGGCATCCCAAAAACTGACTGGTGTGACAATGAGGGTGTCTGAAAATGAAGGTGTCTGACACTTACCAAGTGTTTGGAGATCTTAAAGGGCCACCCTCATTCCATGCAAGCAAAAAGTCGTACCAGTCGACAGCTCAGACGTACCAGTCGAGCGGACCTTTTCATGCCGCGTACCCTGTTTTCCTTTGGCCTCTTCGAGGCGACCGATGAGAACCGGGTCCAGGTCCAGACGAGTTCGTAAACTCGTAGATATGACATGAAACAACGAAGAAACGAACGGACCGGTGACCGGACCCTGACTTCGTCTTGCCCCCCCTCTTCCAGAGGTGTTTTCCTCTAGGATACCAATGGTTAGTAGAGGCACGGTAGAGTGTGAATTCCTTTTCTTGATCTGCAGCTGTGAAGCACTTGAAACCAACTCCAGCTGTGAAGCACGGATGAACCCAGCACCCAGCACTAAGGTACGGAGACGTGGCGTCTCACTTGTTTAGACTTCAAAGCTTGAAACCCACAGGGTTCAGAAACGCATGCGGAGACGTGGCTTCCATTTTTAGGGAGGTGAAGGAGGTGAGAGGTAGCCAAAATATTTTAGACATAGCGGAAAAGGGTTTACAGGATATTGCTGGCTGAGAAGCTTGATTGTTGGCTCAGTGGCAGATTTGGGGGATCCTTCCTCAACCGGTTGGCTGTGGATGGCATGGTTCGACTTCGACTAACAAACAGATTGTCCAGCTCGACTGTCTCTCAGAAAGCACCAAGTAATGGTACCCTTAATAAGTCCCAGCATTGGTGTATATAGTCAGTCCTTCCATCCATCCCACGACAGCAAAGGTCCGATTTTTCCACGGCCCATACCTTGTACCCCCCCCTCCTCAGCTGATGGGAATTCCAACATCTTTAAACTACGAAGAAACATGATCCAGCACCACCCAAAGGGTGGTTATTAGGTGGACATAGCCCTTTGGGTGGTGCTGGATGAAACAACTGAAAACTATTGAAATTCCCCCAAGGGCTCCACACCGGGACCTACCATCCTTCAACTCCCACTTCTTCTTTCATCGGAAGCAAAACATCAAACAACGCCCTGGACCTGGGTGAAACCCTACGGCCTCCCGGCTGGAGGAGGTTCGTTTTGGTTGAAAAACACATGCTGGTTTTCCATGAGGTCCCTGCAGGTCTGTTTAGTGCATGGGTCGGGAAAAGCTCAAGGCGCTGAAGGGCGAAATAGGGGTTCAAGTGTCCGTCACGAAAGAACACCTGCCACACCATTTCATCGGGCCAGATCTGCAGGAGGGATGGCTTCAGATGATGAATGAACTCAAAATTCCTCCAATGATTCCTGCAATGTAGGCAATACTCAACTATTAAAGGTTAATACTCCAAGCACTATCCTTCATTCATATTACTCCAAGGTCTACAGTATCGGGCTTCTGTGGCCTGCTCTTCAACAGGTTTTGATGTCCAAAACTCAACCTCCGGCCACTGTGCCATCCACATGCAACACCGTCCTCGGGCGTTCCGTCGAAGGGGTGGGTGATGGGCATATATTGCATCCTCGTGACCTACGGTGCCACAAATGACATGGCCGTATTGCCAACAAATAAGAACAGATCACCTGAATGGAAGCATCATTGCCCGTCCAGGTGTTCGCCCTCTGATTCTAGCAAAACATCCCAGCCCAGTCGACCATCATCTGGGGGATGTTAGCACAACACATATGGTTCTGAGGTGATCTTGCAACCTCGATCAGCGTGATAAAGCCTACACTGGTGCTCCAGTGGACCCATGGATTGAAGCCCCTACTTGATCCAACCAGTGGGTCGGTGTCCGCCCCCCGCCCCTTCGGGCCTTATACAAGAAGCTTGCGAAACGCAACTTCACCAACAAGGTCAGGCTGCACGTGCCGTCTGCCCCGGGGAAAATATCTGGATAAATCATGTATTGAACAACTTACTTCAAAAGAGCGACTTTCAAACTGATTGGTCCGAAAACTCACGAACCCCACGTGGACCTCATAGAAAGAAACCTCTACCCCACGGGAGTAGCGGGCCTTAGTTTCTAAATTGTGTTTCCCACTGTACGCAGTCCTCATTGCACCATCGAAGCCGAATTCGCCGCCTGGCTTCGTGCAGCAGGCGGAGTTCAGGTCTTTGTTTCTTGGCCTACCTGTCACAAACACAGGCGCTTCCGCTGTTTGGGTGACGCTGGGCGGAAACCAAGGCAAGAACCCGAACTAAGAAACCAGTTGCAAAATGAAACTACAATACCTTGATGCAACCCCAGGAAACAAGCAGTGTGCTCGCTGCAACACTCGCAACACTGTTTCATCATCGCAGGTCTAGGCCAGAGGCTCTGTTTGAGGGCCAAGGTTTGCTGTGCACTGACCTATGTATACACCTCTGTGAACTTGATTTCTAGATGCTGTCTCAATACAAGCCCTCTCGGCTCAATCAAGCATCGCATGCTATACTATAGTGACTGTGGCATCAAAACTCCACCCAAGAGTTCTGCAAAAACCATCCAATTTGAGCAGCGCCCTCCGGATTTCAAGAGCAGGGAGGCGAAGTGTGGGTTCCGAAGTACAAAACATCCCTAGTTAGTTTGGTTCATTTTTTCAGCCACCCCTGAGATATTTTCAAGCAAGAGCCAAGGGTGCCAAAAGTCATCGTGGCCACAGGACGGGTGCATTCGAATCAAGCTGGACATGAAACAAATTCATCGAATCCAGTCGTCGTTTTCAGCGCCGGTATGCGACAGCACGCCCAGTGGAGAGGGACACCAAAATGGGACGGTCCGTGCAGACCGCAGAGAGCCGCTCCAAAAAGGCAAACCACCCACATTTCGCATGGATATTGTCTCGATGGTTTGAAACATCATTATGTTAATATATATGATATTATTATAGGATTATGCTAATGCATTCTGCCTTGGTTAGGGGGGTCTGCTCACATAGTTGGCCACACAACATCTTAACGTCAGAGGCGCCGCTGCATGTTGACATCTTACCATGATGGTCGCTTCGTCGTTTAGGATTCTTTGAGTTCAGGCTTCGTGTCTAGGCCTGCAATAGATTTTGGTCTCGGGGAGTGAGTTATGGCTCAACCTCACAACCGTTGTCTTTGAGGCTGAAAGCGTGGAGTGGAGCACCTCTTCCTGAAACTTCTGTATCTCCGCTGGCACCGGAATTCTCTCAGCTCTTCTGCCTCCTGGGTTGGTGAGCTATAGCAGCTAGCGGGCGGCTCGATGAGGCACCACAAGAGGAACCCATGCAACAGAGCAGCCGGCGCAATCACAAAGCCTCTGCAGTGACAGGCAGCAACTCTTTTGCAAGCCAAATCAGCACACATGGGTACGTCTATGCCCAAGGGAACCAAAACAGCGTCTGCCAGTGTATCGAAACCACTGGCAACATACATGTCACAACATGCATTGCAAATATCCCTAGGGTATCCGCCATGCTTTGCAAACACATTGTCAACCGCAGTGCACACTGCACGCAACAAGGGCACCGACCCGAACAGGCTCCGCAAAACCGAGCAAATAGCAGTCAAAGAGAGCGCTGGCATGCAACACTCGCAACTGTTTTCTCACCACCAGTCTAGGCCAAGTTGCATAAGTAGTGGCAGTAGTGCCAGTAGCAGTAGCAGTAAGCAGTAAGCAGTAAGAAGTAAGCAGTAAGCAGGAAGGAGTACGCAGTAAGCAGTCAGCAGTAGTAGCAGCAGCAGCAGTAGTAGTAGCAGTAGAAGGAGGATGTTTTCCGGCCGCAGTTTCCCATACACTATCAAAAGGTAAAGGCTAAAAAGGCTGGCATTCAAGTGGGGGGGTTGCCTACCCGGGCCACCAGAACTGAAGAATAGGGTATCGGTAGGGGGGTATCGGTGAAGCCCCACTCAAGTCCCCAAGAAATGCAAAGGCACCACTTCTCAAACATACATACCAATGCGATCACCCATGTTAGAGGCTATCGGTTTTGGTTGCGCCCCTATTGGTTTTGCACTCAAATAACCTGTTCAAAACACGATGTCCAGCCGAAGACTACTGCTTCCTCCTATATAGATATAGAAAATAACTTTGTCGGGCACTCAAATAATGCCAACACCTGACTGACACTGGGGGGATACCAGGGAAAACATACATTCCTCATCTTCATTCCGAATTACCCTTGTCGTGCTTGCCTTGTTTTTCTTGTGACATTAACTTGTCCAGCTTGTGAAACGCCGCTCCCCCAAAGCAGCCAGCTGCACCACCGAGTTGTAGACTGCTCGGGGATAGACACC